GCCGTTGCTGTGCACCTTGCCACGGTTGTAGAACCGTCCGGCCAAAATTAAAGGCGCGCCCTGCGTATGAATCGCCAACCTAGATAAAGGACTCTTGTGCAGGTGGCCAGCTGGTGGCACTTGCTGCTGTTGCTGCTGATCGGTGCACGTCTGTTGCTGCTGCTGTTGCTGCTGCTGCTGTTGTTGGGTCAACGACGGCGACGAACGTTGCTGGTTACACCTGCGCGGGCTCGATGTCATCGATATCAGCGGCGCACCCGTCCAACCACCCGGCCCGTATTGCACCTGACACTGCTGGTCGCCAGCAGTCGCCAGAGGGTAAGTCTGTCCATTGCTGTAACAGCCGCGGGTTTTGCCGCGTATCGTCGACTGTTCCTGCTTCCTGCAGACCGCGGCTTTGCCGTGCAACCCGGCGCGCACGTTGGACGAAATGAGACAGCTGCCGATGTAACGCTCCACCTCCAGGGCGCCCTGGGAGGCCGGGCTCATCTTACAATGCGCCCGCGGACGACGTCACCAGGTGCTGAAGCACTAGCTGTCGCGACTGTCACACTCTCGACGACGATCTCGCCGGGCAAGTCCCACCTCGATCCGGCACTCACACACTCGACGACAATCCGATGGAAACTGCCCTACTTGTCACGACACATTGTACTCCACCGATCCTGACGTGTCTCCGGGGGAAGGAGACGGAGACAGAGACAGAGACGGAGACAGAGACAGAGACAGAGAGAGAGAGAGAGAGAGAGAGAGAGAGAAAAGTCAACTCCTTCTTCGAATCTAGCCCATCTTCATCGCCGGAGGATCCCCTGCGCGCGGCTGCTGACCAATCGACTCGCGGATGTGCCGCGACGCGACGCGACGCGACGCGACACAAGACGAGAGACGGTGGACGGGACGGTGTGAACGCGTCACGCCGTCGCTCTTCGCTCCGTGAGTAACGTGAGTAGCACCGCGCGCGGCGGAGCGAAAGTAGGCCGGGAAGTGATAGGCGATCGGTCGCGATGCTGAGGAAAACACCGAGCGTGTGTGTCGCGAGCGTGACTCGTCAGCGAACGACCAAACGATGCCGCGGCCGGAACGACACTGAAGCTACCGCCGCAGACCGCGTACCGCGCGCACCGTACCTCCGTACTCTCTCTCTGCGACGTGGAGGTCTCCCCACTGTTCGCCCTTACCACCTCCACCGCAGTCGCGAGCACCCTCCACCACGCAGGGAACTTCGTCCCCACTTAACCGGCCGATCTCTCCTACTCGGCTTTCTTTCGTCGTCGTCGTCATCGTCACCGCCGCCGCCGCCGCCGCCACCGCCACCGCGCCACCGCCACCGCCTCCACCTCTATCTCCACCACCGCCGACGCCGCCACCGACGCCGCCGACGCTGCCGCTGCCGCCGCCACCGCCACTACCGCCGCCGTCGCTGCTCGCGTCGCGCGGCGTCGTCGTATCCTTCCGGCGCGGATGACGCTGTCACAATTCGCCGAGGGATCGGGGAAAGCTGAGAGCGGGCGACGGAGGAGAGAGAAAGAGGAGGAAGAGAATGAGTGAGACCAGGTCGTCGTCGTCGTCGTCGTCGTCCACCCGTCGCGACGCTGACTGACAGAGACGAATTTACCTGCCTCGCGCTTATCCGAGTTTCTTATACCCCGACTTAGCATAAATTTCATAAACAAATCCCGAAGCCGCTTCCGTCGTCTTTTTCTTTCCTTCCCTTCCGCGGCATGCGCGCGCATCGCCAAGTACGAGCGGATCCAAAGCGCGGCGGATTAGGAGGGAAAAATGTAGGATCTCCGCTGGCTTTCTGATTCCGCCTTCGTGCGAATAAAGTTTGATAAAATTGACATAAAAAGGGCCGGAAGCCAGAGTCGGAGGAAAGAGCGGGGCTGCGCGCGAGGGGAGAAATATCTCGCGGAATCGGAGGTGGCTCTTCTTCTCTTTCTTCTCTTCTTCTTTTTTTGTTCTTTAATTGCGGCTCCATGGAGCCGCTGAATGGCGGATACGAACTTTCGGAAAGCGGAGGAGAAGCGGAAGAGGAGAAGCGATTCAAATCCGTAGAAATATGAAAAGGACACGGTTTGAATATCGGAGAGCCGCGGAGGGCGCGCTCGAGCGCCGCGGGAGGAACTCTCGGCGGTTACGTAAATTCCGCTCTCCGTCAATACCACCATTTCTACGTGTGACGCGTCGACTTACATCGGATAATATTGATAAAGTGTAACGAGTTCCGCTGATATCACCATCCGCCTATCCGCGATGAATCAGCTGCGAAAAATGGAATAACGATCGCCGGCAATGATTCATCCCAGCGATAAGTCGCTCGTTTAAAATGCATCTCGCTGAAAATACCCGGTACGCTGGCAAGATCTCGTCGTACGCAAAACTGCCGTCCGCCTATTGAAGGACGCTTTATACATATCTTACATCGAGCTGCCTTGTTCTCGACCCAAAAGGCTTCGTGGCGTGGCGTGACGTGACGTCGATTAACTTCGCAGACGAAAAAGCGCGTCACAGCGCGGTCAGTCCGTCGTATGATAAAACTTCAAACGTACACAAAGTACCGGTACACAAAGTACCGTCTCACTCTGAACGCGCACCATGCAAATAGAAAGCCGGCTAACGCGATTCGTTTGCTCGCGGAAGAAAGAGAAAGAGGAAGAGAGGAAAGAGAGAACGTCCGCGAAAAGTCAAACAGTCGAGAGAGCCAGTTTCAAGTAACACGGGGTACGCTTTCGGGCGCTTCGGGGATTTTCGCAGTCTGGCGACGAAAAGAAAGTCTGATTTCCCAGAAATAAGGGACGCCTGGCGATCGGTTGGTTCGCCTGACAATCTCATGAGCCAACTTGGAAGCAGTTACCGATGCTCAACGCGAACGAGGCACGCTACGCGTTGTCTCGATGTTATCCCCGAGCGCGCCTAGCAACCTCCTCAAGTGTACCAAGGTGCACAAAAGCAACCTGTCCCAGAAGAATCCAAATTTATAATTATACCACGCGCTGCGCAGCAAACTGCGCGTGCGAATCGGTAACCGACATCTCACCGTGAGACACGCGGCAATTTCCGCACACAAGATTGATACACACAGGTCGGAGCGATACACAACATCATTGGCGTAACGAAGGGAGCTCCAGTCTCCATTAACAAGCGGTACGAAGAACAAGGCCTCGTTGTCAAAGCGCTAACCAGGTCGACGCTACTGTCTACTGCCGGCCGCGGGGCAGAGACGAGAGACCGGCACGGGGAGAAAGAGAGCGGAGAGAGTGCGGAAGAGAGCAGAGAGCGTCGGGCGAAGCGGAAAGAAGAGAGTAGGTAGGGAAGAGCGATATCTTACATCAGGCACCCTCGCATCTGGGTCACCGGCACGGAAAGTGGGTCACGAGTCATCAATCGCCCGCGGCACGCCACTCGGTCGAACCTTCTCCTCCTCCTCCTCCCCCTCCTCCTCTTCCTCCTCCTCATCCTCTTCCTTCTCCTGCTCCTCCACCTCAGCCCTCCTCCGACTCACTCTCTCGACCGGAACGTCTGGCGCGGAGGAGAGCGTGAGTGCAGTCGGCAGGTTCGCGCGCGATCCTTTCTATTCCATTTTTTATCCCCCTCCCCCTCCCCCGCCACCGTGTCGGCGGTGATTTGCCGGCGCTGCTTCGTCGTCGCCGTCGTCGTTGGAACTGTTTTTCGCGAGGAAAGAAAGTTCGGCCGGCCGTCTGGCGGCCCTATTAGCGCCGAAAACGCATCGCGCGCGCGCGCGGCAGGAAGTTGGCAGGAAACTCCAACTCTCTGTTATTACGCACGTCGGAAAGGAGAAGTTCGGCACCGCCTCTCTATTATTAGATACATCGGCAACGAGTTTCGGTATACCGGGGGTCCCTCTATTATTACCGCCGCTCGAAGAAAAGTTCGGCAGCTCGCGTTCGTCCGCGCGCGCGTATTGCACACACACGCCTGAGAAAAAAAGTTTGCGCGCATACACGCTCTATTATTACACCGGCTTGCCTTCCCCCCTCCCCGCCCCCAGCCACCCCAAAGCCCACTTTGGAGCGTGAGCGGAATGAAGTTGCACGCTGAGTGCAGAATTCCTCGAATTCCACCCTTGACACGAACAGAAGCATTTTTCCGCCGGCTGCAAAGTGGGTCATATCTTGGCTGCCGCGCGCGAGAGAGACGTCTTACGTAACATCATATTAAAACGTCATCGGCTATGATGGTTACTTCATTACACGCTACATCGGACGAGCGGAAAGGAAAATGAGTTCTCCGTTGATCGGGCCGCTCCTCCGTCAGAGCGTTCGTCACGCAAAATTTCTCCATTCCGAGATGGAGGGATTTCTTGCCGTTTCCGCTGCTGGCTACGCGCGCGGCAGAAATTAAGAGTCGCTGGAACTTGGGGTATCGGCAGGCGCCGAGAAGCAACGGGGGGGATTTTCCATCGCGACTTTGGACCGTAAAATAATGACAAGATCTCCAAGAGAGCGGTGAATCCAACCGCTCCCGCCTCGTCCTGATAAAGGATTCCGTCGATTTCTCCCCGACTGGGGAAGAATTCCCCGAGGGTTTCAGCTTCTCGTCGAGTTGTTTCTTCTCCAGGCGATAGACGCCGCCCGGAGCCGAGAGAGAAACGAGAGCCGAGACAACAAGCTTTTCCCAGCGCGATTAGGGTCGCGCGCGCGCGCGCGCGCGTGACGCTTCCTGGTGCGAGGATAGATCGCGCTTCTCGATCAGATGGGAGTCTCGCGACGCGACGCGGCGTGATCCGGCCGGCCGTTATCGCGCGGCCCGATCGGGGATGCGCCATTAGCGATTGTTACAAACTGATTTTGATGTCGCGATCGGCCACTCGCGATAAAGTGGCCGCGGCGGCGTCCGCGCGATTAGCGCCGCCGCAGATTGGCGTTATTGCGAAACGCGTCGAGCCATTAAACCGCGACGAGCGCGCGCGGTGCGTTGTTATCGCGCCGCGGATCGAACATGCGCCGTTAGTCCCGGCCCTTCTTCATCTCCGTCCCGCGACTGTGCGTCCCCGATCGGGAGGGAACCTCGAGACACGAAATTGTGCTTTTCCATTAACACTAGAAGGTAGCGGCGATTAGCGATCCGCTTCTTCTCTACCGAAACGACCGAAATGTCACGTATCTGAAGAAGGGCGTAATGCGAGGGCAGGCTTTTCACTCGTTTACTTCTTTAGTTTCGTTCAATGTCAATATCGCAGGTCGTTGCAGGTTCGAGTGATTTTTGCAAGAAGAAATCCCAGAGGAGCGACTTTGAGACTCTGTTGACAACGGTCGCGTAGCGTCAATTCCGCGAACTGCCTGTCGAGCCTGACGAATCAATGGGGAATCGCGCGAGATTTAACAACGCACAAGAGAACAGCAGTGCACGCACACAAATGTTGTGAAAACATTTGAGTTCGGGCTCGGTGGAACGAGTGACTTTTCAAGGGTACAAGAGTAGGTAAGGAGCGTAAGTTGCAGATTCAAAAAACAGGAGACGTGTTTTCATCGAAAACGCTGGTTTTCTCGACCTTCCGGCCACCGTTCGATTACGCTATTGTTTGATAACAAGATGGACAATGCTGAGTCCTTCACCACTTGTTTTGGTTCTCTCGCGCCTCGTGTATGTGTGTGTGTGTGTGTGTTTCCATGACCGAGTTATTACGTCCCGAGTCGATGAGCGACAAACACGCCCGAGCGCGGGCCACGTCGGTGCGTCGCTCGACACATTCCTGTTCGCTCTAAAAATATTTCGTCGGATTCTCGTGGGCATCGCGTTCATTAACACACGTTTCTCGAATTGTCTACGCGACGGTGAGTGCCAGTGTCAGTGTCAGTGTCAGTGTCAGTGCCAATGTCAGTGCCGCGAGCAGGATGACGCATTCGGCGGCCAGGTCGCTGCTGGATCGAGAGGTCGACTCGGAGGAAGCAGGACGACGACGATGTGGGCAGCGACGACGCGTCATCATATGCGTGTTCCAAGTATGTGAAATTATTTATTATATACATCGTCCGGTTTTTTAACGTCGCTTGATACGCGGAAAATGCAGGGTTAATGCGGGGTTAATACAAAAGCAGAATTTCATCTCGGGAAAACGGGCGAGATGCATCGTGCGAGGGCATGCGGGTGCATCATTAAACGGGAGATTCGAGCGAAATTTCGAGATCGTTAGCGCGATGACCGGCTCTACTGATTACCGTTGATTGTAACAAAGATTCGACCGACTATTGAATTACCGAAGATTAATAAGTGTAATTTAACACGCGTCCATCTTTCGCTCCGTTCGCCTGGCTCTCTCCGTCGCG